TTAATCATTTAGGGTTCAAAATGTACATTTTAGAAATTTAGGGTTTAAATCGTCTTTAAATCTATAGTTTAGGGTTTAAATTACAAATTAATCCTATTAAAAATATTTTAATATCTTTAAAGTAAAATATATTACTTTTTCCTTTATTTTATCTTAATTATAAAATTTTTTATTTTTAAAATCTATATGAATCCCCCATAAAATTAATAGTTAAGAGTTATAAAATACAAATATGCCTTCTATATTTAAGTTTTTATTTTTATCAATCCAATCATTAGTTAATAGTTAAGTTACATAGGTTGGATTAAAATACCATTACTAATACATTCTTTTAAATTTTTATTCATATTTTAAATTTATTAGTCATACAAACTAATTTATTTAGTGTTTTTTTAAAATTAAATACATACTCTATCTTTTTAAAAATATAAGATATTTTTAATCGAATCTCACTCCTAACAAAGTAATTATTCCTCTAGTCCTATTTATAAGTCACTTCCAACATGTTTCATTAATATCAAGAAAAATTTTAAAACTCATTAACTATATCTTAAAATTTAATAATTTTTTAACTTTGCCCCTATTAAATATATATATATATATATATTTTAATAACATATTTTCTCTCTCAATATTCAATGTAGGGTAAAAGAAAAAATTTATAATGAAAATTTAATAATGTGACTTATAAATAGGACTAAAAAAATTCTTTTCTCTCTGCTCTATAATTAGGATCAGAGGGAATACTTATTTTTAAAATAACATCATCTTTTCATATTTACTATTTAATTGATTGTTTTACTCTAAAATAAATATAAAATAATTTCTTTATTAGGGATACTTTTAAAAAAATAATTACACTAAAAATGCCTTATATTTTTTAACATCCAACCTTTAAGAAATAACCTTAAAAAATACCTTACATATTTTAACTAAAGGAGTAAGTTTATTAAAATAATATTTCAAACACATAAGTGAAAAAAAAAAACTTAATGGAAAAAGAGAGAAATTAATTAATATGATTTATGTTTTATGTTTATTTAAATTTTATAGTTTTGATAAAATATTTTTAAATTATTGACATAATTAATTTTTTATTTTTTTTGCCTAAAATTGTTTGAAATTTCTTAAATTAGGAAGCAAGAGAATAGACAAATAGATTATAGGGGTAAATTAATAATTTAAATTTTGTCAACATAAATACAAATAATAAATAAAATATTTTAGAATATTTAACATAATATTTCTAACCATATTGAAAATGAGACTAAAGTATAAGTTTTTAAAATAAAAAGAAGTCTTTATAACTCTAACAAAACAAAAGAAATTCTAGTGTATTTTATTCTATAATATATTAATTTGTGAAAATTAAAATCTCAAGAATATTTTATTTTAAAATTTTTTTGTCCATATATATTAAAAATATAAATCATAATTTATTTTATTTAAAATGTATTATCCCATATAAATTAAAATTTAATGAACAACTTCTTCTTTCTTTTTTTTCTCCTAAAGTATCTCATAGTTAAGAAGTATGAGACTAAAATTTTAATAGGACGATACATATAAGAAACAACTTTTATTTTGCAATGAGTTACTTTTATACATAATAAAAAATATAATTGTTTTTTAACATTTATCGCCTCTTGCAATTTAAAATATAATCTAACTTGTTCTTTTTTAAAATATGTTGCCCAATATAATACCTTAAGGAAAATAAAACATATACTATAATGACATCTTCTCTAAAATTATAACATTTATAAATGAAAATTTGTATGGCAAATAGTTTTCATCTTACATAAATAAATTTTATTAATTAAATTATTGGTCCCACTCAAATTTTGTAATGATAAGTCCCACGTGCTTTTTTATAACACACTACCTCTATTGTTTAAAAATCAAGTTTGTTAAAATCTAATATTATCTGTATTTTTTTTAGAGTCTCAATTCATATTGAGTTTAAAATATTTAAAAAAAATTATAGTCGAGCTCAACTCTTGACACCTAAAAATATATAAATATGTAGGACCCCACCTTTGCATATTTTTTTGGCTAATTTATATATTTATTTTTTAAAAAAAGTTACAAAATAAATAAATTTAAATAATGAAGAAATAATTTTTTCATCATTTAAATTATTTTTAGGCAATATTTATATTTAAATAGGGGCATTTTGGTCTAATATACATGACTTAATAGTCAACTAATGATTAGATAAATGAAAATAAAATCTTAAAAATAAAAAAGCTTGTATTTTATAACTATTCAAACTAAAAAATATTCATATGGATTTCAAAAAATAAAAAACATGTATCATTAATTAAGATAAAAAAATAGGATGATACCTATAATGAATAATTTTTATTTTGCATTTATACATAATAAAAAATATACTCCCTCCATTTTGAAATGTAAGAAATTTTTAATCGAATCTCACCCTCATAAAGTAGTTACCTTTTTTTAAACTAACCATATCTTTTCATATTTACTCCTATTAAACACCCTACAATAAATATAAAGTCATTATCAATAAAGGTACTTTTGATAAAAAAGATAATGAATACATCTTAAAATACTAAAAATGCCTTACATTTTTTAACATCTAACTCCTTAAAAAATGCCTTATATTTTTGAATGGAGGGAGTAATTATTTTTTAACATTTATCATCTGGTAATTTAAAATACAATCTAGATTGTTCTTTTTCAAAATGTATTGCCTAATATAACACATTAAGGAAAATAAAACATATACGGTAATGACATCTTATCTATAATTTTAACATTTATAAATGAAAATTTGTGTGGTAAATGGTTTTCATCTCACATAAATAAATTTTATTAATTAAATTATAGGTCCCACTCACATTTATAAATGTAGATCCCCCACCTTTGCATATTTTTTTGGCTACTTTATACATTTAATTTTTTAAAAAGTTACAAAATAAATAAATTTAAATAATAATAAAATAAATTTTTTCATCATTTAAATTATTTTTAGGCAATATTTATATTTAAATAGGGGTATTTTGGTTCAATAACATGACTTAATAGTCAACTAATGATTAGATGAATGAAAATAAAATCTTAAAAATAAAAAAAAGCTTGTATTTTATAACTATTCATATTAAGAAATGTTCATATAGATTTTAAAAAACAAAAGAGATGTATTAATTAAGATAAAAATAAATAAAATATTATACTCATTTTTAATTATAAGTTTCATATTAGCAATTTATTTTCTTAGGTTTCACATGTACTTCTTTTACTATAGGGCCCACATTATTTTGTACTTTTTTTAATGTATCATATTAAAAAAATAAAAAATAAAAATAAAAAAAAAAGTCAAAAAGTCGAATGGTATTATAGATATATAGTACCATCCGACAGTCACAAAAAACAAATTTAAAAAAAGTAAAAATCATAACAAATAAAAAAAGTAAAAGTTAGATGGTTCTGTAGATTTATAGTACCATTTGATGATAAATACAATATATTATAGATATAAATATTATAGATTCTAACAAGCATGGTGATCTGAATTGATAAAAGCCTTAATTTTTACAAGCATGCATATAGAAAATAACAAATGATAATGTTTGAACAAGCACAAATATAAAAAAATAACACGTGTAAAGTTCTATCAAGCATGATTTTGAAAAATGATAAGTGAGCATACTGTTCTGATAAATATATATACATATATAAATGACAAGTAACAATAATGATTTAATTAGCACCTTTATTAGAAATAATAAGCATGATATTGAAAATTGACAAGTAGGGCTATATTTTGTCTTTTTTTCATTCAATCTTTTTGTCAAATTTCACGTCAAAGGATTTCAGAGTAATTTTAAAATCCTTTATTTTATTTTTTAGTAATTAAGGGTCTTTAACCGTCCTGCAATGCAATTTTGCCCTTTTTTGTTCTGTAAAGGGGGGAAAAAGCTTAAGAGCTTTCTTCACAGCTTCCTATTAATATAAGTCATTCTTAATTTTTTTACACGAACTAAGAAATATGATATATATATATATATATCTATCTATCTATTTAAGAAGATAGAATATTCATTAATTAATTTAACTTAAAATTTTTGTATTAAATAAAATATAAATATTTGATTCAAACCATAACCCATGTGGAGGAAGAGGAACTGCCTTGTATTTCAAGATTTAATTCGCTTAGGGATATGCATATGACGTGAAACGGATTCATCCCGCATCTTCATATGTGTCTATTTTATTTGTGTGTGCATATGCTGTTATTTTTTTTAAAATGTTTACATCTTTTTTATTATACCATTAAATAGAATAAATATACTACCCTGTTTTTAAATATAAAAAAAATTATCATATTTTTTTTTTATTTATAAATAAAATTGCAAATTTTAAGAAGGATTTATCACATTGTCTTTATATTATTCCTTACAAAGTTAATGTTTATTTTTATCAGATACATTTGTTTCATTAATTACAGGAATATTTTAATTTAATTTTAAAATTTTTATACATAATTATTATATTTAACTAATTTTTTTTAAATTGTATGAGTTCATTATTTTCTTTTATATTTAAAAACAGAAGGAGTCATATTTTTCTTATTCATAGTATTTTCATTAATTTATTCTCTATTTTGGAAAAATTATAAAAAGTACGTGTAAAATTAAAAAAATATTAAATTTTTGGTCAGGGAATACTTATAAAATTTGTAAATAATAAATGTAGCAGGTGTAATTACATTCTAGGAAGCATATTTTGCATGAATTTTCAGGAAAAACATGGGAACTAGAGGACAGACAGACCTCGTCAGTTTCGCTTGCGGTGACGTCTTTTTACGGCAAACGACTCAGACTCTCAAAGTCGTGCGCGTAGTACCTTCCCGTGTGGTGACCCCACCACCACCAACTTCGATCAGTGCTTATCAGAAACGGCCCTGACGGGCAAAGCAACAAGTCTTTATATATAGAGTGTCACTCCATTAATATTAAAAACGATCCGCCAAACCCACTTTCCCTGTTCGCTTTTGTTGTCGTCATTCGGGTAAAAGCAGCTTCGTCTCTCTTAAATGTGTTGAAAGGGGCCTCTGTATCGGCCCACTAACCATACTCCTTCCTCGCTGAGTCAACACTCACGTTCGTATTGATCGGAGTTTTAGGCTTTCGAGTGGTGGAAGCGGCGGTGGAGAGTGCTACCAAGTTTCTTGTGCATTGCTGTATGTCAGTGGGATACTACAGTGAGATCTACTACGGCGGATACGGTGAGCTCGCTAATCCTTTACAATGGCCTCAGCTCAGGAAAAAACGACGCCTTGTTGCGGCGACAATAACAACCGGAATTCTTCTACAGCTCCTTCGCTTGTTAACCGATCTTCCACTTCGGCCGATCCGCCGGAGGATCCGATCCGAAACAGAGCGTCCGTCGCCACCTTGATGGCCACTGTGGATCCCTTCACTGAGCCTCCTCCAAAAACCACTTCAACCAAAGGTTTCCTCTTTTGATATTTTTTATTCATTTCTTTGAGGTTTTTTATTTGTTTTACTCCGTTGATCTGATGTCTGACTTTATCATGCTGATACTAACATGAAGGCAGAGAAAGAATTGAACTCAGTGGATTTAGAGTCGCTGAAATGGAATAAGCAGATTGGCCATATCAAATTACTTAGTCAATTTTATTTGACTATTGTCTTTCTCTATTATAATTCGTTGACTTTGAAACATCTCGCTGACTCATCTCACTCATCATTATACTTGTTTACTTAGTTAACGTGCGGAAGTATTCTCATATTTTGCGTGTTAAGTTATTACCTGATTTCTTTAATCATGATTATCAGAATTTTGAGCTCCCTGTTCGGTTCATTTAGCTGAATGAGCTGCCATCTGGCCTTTGAGATTGCTTAGAGAAAAATAATTCATGTTGAGATCATATCAGATGTCGCATCAACTCATAGTCCTTCTCAATCTGGTCAACGAGAGAGCATTGTAGACTTTGCCAGTGATGTTAGCTTTAAATGTTGTTTCCTTGTTGGTGTAGGCATTCCAGTCATGGTGAGAGCTCAAACCAGCCACCCTCTGGATCCACTATCTGCTGCTGAAATATCTGTGGCTGTGGCTACTGTTCGGGCCGCTGGGAAAACCCCTGAGGTCAATTAGAGAATTTTCTTTATATATGGAGAACATACTTGTGCTCACAGATTGATTAAACTTTTTGATTTCATGTCAGGTGCGTGATAGCATGCGCTTTGTTGAAGTAGTTTTGGTAGAACCCGACAAGCACGTTGTTGCACTGGCAGATGCATATTTCTTCCCACCTTTCCAACCATCATTACTCCCCAGGACAAAAGGTGGACCTGTGATTCCTACTAAACTTCCCCCAAGGAAAGCAAGACTGGTTGTTTATAACAAAAGGTCAAATGAGACAAGCATATGGATCGTTGAGCTTACTGAAGTTCATGCTGCAACTCGTGGTGGTCATCATAGGGGCAAAGTCATTGCTTCTGAAGTTGTTCCGGATGTTCAGCCTCCTATGGTATCCAGATTTCTTTTCCATTCTTGAAAAATTTGCTGTTTTAGGATTTGTAGCATCTTCTTCACTGCAAAGCTGATTGATAACTACATTACTGTCTTCCTCGTTCCCAAAATTTATGCATGGAGGGCTTGCAGAATTGGAAAACTGCAAATTCTGATAGTTCTTTACTGTTCCTGAGATGTTCTTGGCATTTTTATTTCAAATTTGAATTATTAAATAAATTGCCTAACTGTCTGCCATGGTTTCTTAAAAATAATGAATATTTGCAACGACATCAAATAATCCTATACACTGTTTGTGTAAGATGCGTGTTGAGTTTCCTATAGATATACTTAATTTATGATAAGCAAATGAGGAAAAAAAACTTCATAATCTAACCTTTAATTGCTGTCGTAATATAATAATCATATAATCACATTGTGACAGAATCTAACCTTTAATTGCTGTCATAATATGATAATCATATAATCACATTGTGACAGTAGAGGATAGGTCTATCCATTATGGGTTTCTCGTACCTGTGCATGCTGCTGTAGAATAAGTTAGGACTTGGGAGGTATTGCTGTGTTGATTATGACCGCTGTTTCCTTCTTGACTCATTAGTCTTTATGACCATCATATCATTCCTATTTCCCAAATGTAATAAAAATTGGTCTGAGTCATTTTCTCTGTGCATTTACAGGATGCTGTGGAGTATGCTGAATGTGAAGCTCTTGTTAAGGACTATCCTCCATTTCAAGAAGCAATGAAGAAGAGAGGGATAGAAGATATGGATCTTGTGATGGTGGATCCCTGGTTAGTTACTGTCAAAATTTCTTCAATTAGACCATTTGTTCTTTTAAATTCTGATTTAGGAGGTTATATTCTTACAGGTGCGTAGGATATCATAGTGAAGCTGATGCTCCTAGCCGCAGACTTGCTAAACCATTAATCTTCTGTAGAACTGAGAGTGACTGCCCCATAGAAAATGGTTATGCTCGCCCAGTTGAAGGCATCCATGTTCTTGTTGATATGCAAAACATGGTTGTTCTTGAGTTTGAGGACCGTAAACTAGTTCATCTTCCTCCTGCTGATCCATTGAGAAATTATACACCTGGTGAAACACGGGGAGGAGTTGATCGAAGTGATGTGAAACCCTTACAAATTATTCAGCCTGAAGGTCCAAGTTTTCGTGTCAATGGGCACTTTGTTCAATGGCAGAAGGTGGTTATGTTAATGTGGCTATTCTTGTAATTTCTTTGTCAAATTGATGTTCTCTAATTCTGCTTTTTGATTGGCAGTGGAATTTTCGTATTGGTTTCACTCCTAGAGAGGGCTTGGTCATATATTCTGTAGCCTATGTTGATGGTAGTCGAGGTCGAAGAGCAGTGGCCCACAGGCTGAGTTTTGTCGAGATGGTTGTTCCTTATGGTGATCCAAATGATCCCCACTATAGAAAGAATGCTTTTGATGCTGGGGAAGATGGGCTGGGTAAAAATGCTCATTCTCTTAAGAAGGTTGGTATTTGCTTTGTTTCCTTTTTCCCCCCTTTTACTTTCATTTCAATTAGTAATCTTTGTCTGTTCTAGGTGGAATTGAATTTGTTTGTATGCCATTATTATTGCAGGGCTGTGATTGTTTAGGCTATATCAAGTACTTTGATGCACATTTCACAAATTTTACTGGAGGTGTTGAAACAACTGAGAATTGTGTTTGCATGCACGAAGAAGATCATGGCATCCTGTGGAAACATCAAGATTGGAGATCAGGTTTGGCTGAGGTCCGACGCTCTAGGAGGCTGACAGTATCTTTCATATGTACTGTAGCAAACTATGAGTATGGATTTTTCTGGCATTTTTATCAGGCAAGTTATAATGTCTACATTGATTCATCTGTGAATGTGTTTTAAGGAGGTAGAATGGCCAAGTGATTTTGATGCCCAGTGTTCTAAACTCTATCAAAACAAATGCAAGTGTCTCTGATTGTGAGTTCAAAGGTAGTTTGTGCTTGAAAATTTCTTGGATCTTGCTATGCTATCTATATCTGAGCATATCAACCAAATTTCTAGAAAGAATTGATATGGTCTCGTGCATAATCAGTTTTCCCAAAGTTGCCGTAATGAGATCTGGTGGCATACTTATGAAACCTACACATTTGCCTACTCTTACCGGCTTGTTTGGCTTCTTATAGTTTTCCATTTGTTTTTCCCAATTCTTTTCTTCTATTCAATCAAGTTCAGTCAAACTCAAGCATGCAATTCAAGTCAATTGGCTTCCTGAATGTTCTTCTTGCAGGATGGGAAAATAGAAGCTGAGGTCAAGCTCACAGGAATTCTTAGCTTAGGAGCATTGCAACCTGGTGAATTTCGAAAATATGGTACAACTATTGCACCTGGATTGTATGCTCCTGTTCACCAACATTTTTTTGTTGCTCGTATGGACATGGCAGTTGATTGCAAGCCTGGGGAAGCATTCAACCAGGTCAGTTTTTTTCTCACCCATTATTTTCCATCTTCCATGAATCAGATGGCCTTGATTTGTTTGGTTGATAGTTTTGTTTGTTATAAGAGATATCTTTAGCTTTGTTACCATTTCTCCTTTAACTAATTATGTTGTTTCTTAAATTAGAGTATTTGAGAAATATCATAAATGTTTACTTCTATTTTGCTGTTTAGATTAATTAGAGAGTTCAAATTTTTAAATAAGCCAGGAACAGTCACTTGACTCCTTGTAAGTGAAATTATTATTATTTGAAAGAAAGTGAAGTACGTAAATTCAATAGAACCTGCAATATTTACACTATAAGGACACCCCAAAAAATTAAAAAAAAAATATTAAACCTTAAACCTATAGCTTTTGGTGTCTATTTTTATCTATCAAAAGTATTTCCATCTCATTTTCAGATCATTAATCACCCTAAAGCATGTACTATCACAGCAGAGATTTTCCTGCTTGAAGGTCGCATCATTCTTGGTTTGCCATCTAGTATATGTAGCTGCACAGAAAATAGCTACTCTTGACTTGAAGATAGGTCGAGTCTTGTGTTTAGATTGAAAAAAACACGTTGCCATATTTTAGATCGATAAGAACTAATGTCAAACTCTACCCATATCCTTAAGAACTGTTTGAGACTTTGCAATTTGCAATCAAAAAATAAATAGTCCCAGTTTCAGGATGTGCATTACAAAACACACAATTGTCATTTTGTAAAATGTTCATTTTCATCGATTTAACTTTAGTGTGCAATCTGAAACGTAAGGCCAGCCAAGCAATGAATGACATTATTGGTAGAGAGAAGCCATTCCTAACAATGCAATGCCAAGGGGAGGGGGTTACTAGCATAACTGAGTTGTCTAGCTTTCCAATGTTTGATGCTACCGAGGACCCACCATCTTCTCAATCAATGGTTCATAATCCTTATAGACCAACTTCTTTGAATTTAAAGGAACCCCCAAGTATCATACTGGAAGCTCACCTTCCTTTGAGCCTTGGCAATTCAAAATTTCCTCTCGTGCATCTATTGACACACCACCAAGGTAGGCTGTGCTTTTATTGGCATTGATGGTCAATCCAAAAGCAGCTGAAAATTGTTGAAGAGCATCCTGAATAATGGCCACAGAATGGATATCACCCCTGTAAAACACTGATAGATCATTGGCGAAGCAAATATGATTCAGTTGAAATCTATGGCATCCTGGGTGGAATTGGAATCCTTTCTGCTTAGAACCCAATTGGAGTAATCTGTTCAAGTACTTAATTCCCAAAACAAATAGCTAATGAGACATAGTATCTCCTGCCTAATTCCCTTTACTCCAGGAAAGCAACCCTCTTGCCCTCCGTTGATGTAGGTCAAGTATTTGGCTGTCCACACAGGCAAGCACCCAGTGAACAAATATTGAGTTTAAATCCCATCCTTCCATTGTCGCCCTTCAGAATTCCCACCCAAGAGAATCATATGCCTTGTTGGCTTGTTCAAATCAATCTTAGAGGTGCATCTAGGTGGGATTTTTCCCTAGAGTAACCTGTAAGAATTTCATGGCCAAGTGGAATTTTGTGAGTCACAGACCTTTGCTGAACAAACGCCCCTAGGATATTCTCCCACAATTGTTGGCAAGTACTCTACTCAATCTTGTAGAAAACATCTTTGTAATTTTTTTTTATAGATCAAATTGCAACAAGCAATAGATCGGAAGTCCTTCCCTTGCACTGGATTCTGTATCTTGAGCATGAAGATTACTACTCCCTTAAGCTTATCATTGTTGGCGAAGTATTGAATTAATTCTAATTTTCTGAAAATGGTTAGTATTTGATTAACTAATTATTTGGCATATTCCTTTTAATAAATATGTTTGTTAAAATTTGATTACATACCATTTAATTTATCCGAAATAACCATGAAATACTAAAATGTCACAAAATTTGATAAAAATATTTACTAAAATCGTATTTTAAACATATTATCACATATCACACAATTCATTTTAAACAGTGATAATTATTCATATGAAACAGATAATTTAGCATGTATCAAAGTTTAAAATGTTATCACAATTTTGGTGAAATGATAGTTATATATTATTATCTAAGGAGAGGATGTTACATTGTACACAATATGGCTTTTCTTTTTAAGATTTCGGGTAATTTACTGTGATTTTTTACGTAGCTTCCCATGGCTGAGTGAGGCTTCTTCTAATCTTTTTTTCCCCCCCTCTTTTCCTGTTTTTTGTGTGCTTGCGTGCCTATTGCCACGTTGAACTTAGGCTGGTACGGTTACAGTTGACTGCTAAACTAAAATTAGTATTGCTATGTGGTTACAGTTGACTGCTTCCATCACAGTTACTTATTGCTTTTCTATGAGAATACAAAAAATTATTAATAGATATATATTCTCTATACCAGGTTGTTGAGGTGGATGTCAAAGTTGAAGAGCCAGGGCAGAATAACGTTCATAATAATGCATTCTATGCAGAGGAGAAGCTGCTTAAATCAGAATTAGAAGCAATGCGTGACTGTAATCCATTATCTGCTCGTCATTGGATTGTAAAGTTTCCAAACTTGCTTACTTTTGTGATCCATGGTTGATGTTAGGGGGGATTGGACGTGTCTGAAAAGTCGGCTTCTTTGCTCTGCCATTCCTAATAATGTTAAGGATGATTTGTACCTTACAGTTGTGTTTATTTGTTCATAGCTCATTGCTTCTTCCTCCTCTTTCTGATCTTTTTTTAACTTGTCTGAATAGTTTTGTGTCATATATCCTGGCATATTCATTTAATTTTTTAGTTGCTTGAATATTAAAACTGGGGTTGTTTATTTGTTTGGAATATTATTTTATTAGCTTCCAACAACAGTTGTTAAAGTGATTTATTATTTTAGGTAAGGAACACGAGGGCTGTTAACAGAACTGGGCAGCTAACAGGTTACAAGTTAGTGCCAGGCTCAAATTGTTTACCATTAGCTGGTTCAGAGGCCAAGTTTCTAAGAAGAGCCGCTTTCTTGAAACACAACCTTTGGGTCACAGCTTACAAATCTGATGAGATGTATCCTGGAGGAGAGTTCCCTAATCAAAACCCACGCGTTGGAGAGGGTTTGGCGACTTGGGTTCAGAAAAATCGCTCATTGGAAGAAGCTGATATTGTTCTTTGGTTAGTTCACTTGATTCTACTTTTGTGAGATAATACTAGCAATGACAATGACTAAAAAATTCTCAAGTAAAATCAGGTTTACAAAAGATTGGTTGGCTTAGCCAATAAGTTCTCAGGAAGAGCCATGTACAAATCAAATTATGATAGGCTTGGTCTTTCTATTCGTTGTAGACTAGATTTTCCCAAGAATCTCGTGTACACTCTATCTCGCTGCACATGTGTTTTGCTATGCAAGTTTGCTTTATGCATGCATCATGTTGTAAATTATTGCATTGTGTACTGGAACATGCAGTTGAGTTTGTCGTAATAAGCTGAGATGATAGATTTTGACTTTAATTATGGACTTTTGGCTCCTTTCACCTTTCCTTGCGGCTGTTTATTCTTAGCATTTAATATATAATTTAATGACAAAATTTCAGGTACATATTTGGAATAACACACGTTCCTCGATTGGAAGACTGGCCTGTTATGCCAGTGGAACGCATTGGTTTTATGCTCATGGTATATCTCAACCAGTTTATGCCTATACCCATTGTTTGTGTGCAAAGCTTTTTATGAATAAATTATGAGTCACATGGACATCGTAGCACTGATATGGACTCATTTATCATAACGTTCATATTTTCAAGTATCCATGCTTCGTAGATGCAGCAATTTCAAGCAAACCAAAATGCTGCTTACACAACCAAAAATCCATACAACTCTCACATGTTTCAAATTAAACTTGGAACATTTGTCAAGGCCACCTGAATGTAGATGCAAGTACTATTTTATCATGTTTTAAAGCAAAACTGACAATATTTTTGTTCATGATGCAGCCGCATGGTTTTTTCAATTGCTCGCCAGCAGTGGATGTACCACCTAGCGCAAGCGATTTGGAAGACAAAGAGGGCATAACCTCCAAGCCCAGCCAGAATGGCCTCATTGCAAAGCTTTAAATGAACTCAAAACTACGTTGTTGTTCTGTTATTGATGCCTAATTTGTGCGTCTATCATTGCCTCTTATTAGAAGCGAAGGAGTTTCTTATGGTCCATCTGGATAGTTAAGAATGTAATGTGGCCGTTTGGATTGGCTTCAGTCATTTATTTGCTATTAACATTTCTTTCTTCCATGGAGGGGCAGATAGTGTCTCAGGTGTTGGATTTGAACCTGCTAGCCTATTTGTTTGCGTGTATTGTTTGCCCGATTCAAATGTGTGGATCTAAATTAAAACTTACACCCGTTAAGTTTGAAAATTTTCTTATAAAATGGTGATAGAGTATTGGGAAAATGATATTTAAGTCCCAAAACAGCCATTTAATGTGAATAAAGTCCTAAGAAATTCTCAAATGCCAACAGAGTCCAATGACCTCTTAAATGATTAAAAAATAAATATGCAATTATTTCAATGCCCTCGATTACAAAGTCATCTTCTCCACTTCTAGATTGCTCGGACTACTACAAAAATTCCATTGCCCCCCCCCCCTCTCCCTTGCATATCTTTACATCTAACAGCTCAATCTTGAATTTTGATTTCACCATTGTGTTTCTCACATTGTTCGCAACAAAACTTCTCTCAAGTTTCACCATAATTTGCTTTCTGCTCTTCCCTTTCTTCCTCTAATTGGTCTCACTCTAGTTTGTGTTGTGTACTGCTTCCACCGTCCTCCTCCTCCTCCTTCACTCATAGTCTCACTCTCGTTCTGCATCCTGCATCTCCTAGGTGTCAATCTTGTCATATTCCATCTTAGGACTGTCATTGATGGGTTCACATTTCCCTTACTAGTCTTGCATTTGGGTTGTTCGATGGAAATGGTGGGGTAGGTGGCGGTACCACTTGGTTTTTATTGCTGGAGTTGGGATATATGTTCATAAATAAAATTAAGATAGGGATTTGCAAATATAATTAGATGGAGTTTTGAATATGAGAAAATAAGTTGCAAACAATTTTAAAATTCAATATTAAAATCTCACGTGTTTATAAGTAAAATTAGGAAATTAAATTGCAAATCGAGAAATGGAGTTGCAAATATAAGATGATAAGTTGCAAATTTTTGTATTCAAAATATTTTATTATAATTATTAAAGTTATTTGAGTCTTTTCCAATATATCATAATACCAAATAAGGACCAATGGGATTTACTTGGGATTTTGAAATTTGTTGGGACTTGGTTTTCATTCTCTCTTTTTTACACTTATCTTATTCTTCTCCCATAAAAAAGAGAGATGCACACACACTCTTCATCCACGACCACTACCACCACCAACATCACTTGGGATTTAATCACGTAACCTCTTCTTTTATTGCAGCCTTTTAATATAAGAAAAGGTGAGTGTGATATCCATTAAGAAAAATATTGTAGAAATATCATATGATTTGAACATATATAAAGAAGGCTATGAAAGACATTAGTGAGAAAAGTAAAATAGATAGTGTTGAATCCAGTGAAGAAGCAATGGCAAAGTCAGGACCCTAGCTCAAGGGGTGCAATTTTATTTAAAAACATTAATATTATAAAAAATAAACATTTAATAATTGAAAAATAATTATATACATTACAATAATAGAGGTGAAAAATGATCACAAAGCATTTACAATTTTCTGATTTCATGTTTTAAAATTATATTGTTGAGCAAGAAATAAATAAAATGTAAACAATAAAAAAATCATTGTGAAAATTTTGGATTTAATTTTGTAATTAAAATGTAAATAATGATATTTTTTAATAAAAGTTGTCTCGTGTATAGTAAGAATTTAATATTGTGTGTTAAAACTTATTACGCTTAAACTAAATTATTATGGATTGAAAAATTTGTAATTAATATATTTAGATTTTAATTAGAACTTGAATGATCTCAAATGATTAATTAATGATAGAGGTGTAAAATACAAAGATACAAGATGTGATTGTGTAAAACATTAAATCTCACATCATATATTTATAATTTTAGCCAAATTGAGGGAGTGCATTTGCCCCCTCAATTTTAGCCAAATCTCACACCATATACTTGTAAAGGAAAACTAAAAAATTTTTTATGGAAGTTGTTGAATGAAATCTTGGTTACAAATATTTTTAAAGGCTTGGTTGACAATTACGTACAATGATATAATTACCTGAAAGCGAGAAGAAGAAATAGATAAAAATGACAAAAGGATACAACATCTTGAATCAAAACTTCAAAATTTAAGTTTATGAGTTCTTTTTCTTTATTTTATATTAATTATTAAGTTTAATTTTATTCAATATGAGATTTCGCATATTAATGATGTGATTACCTAAAAACGGGAAGAAATAGATAAAAATGACAAAAGGACATGACATCTTAAATCAAAACTTCAAAATTTAAGTTTATAAATTCTTTTTCTTTATTTTATATTAGTTATTAAGCTTAACTTTATTTAATATGAGGTTTCGTATATTGACTCAAGTCTAATCACACTTGAACAACTTAATAAAACACCTAACCCATATTCTTGTTAATAGCCGTTCCCTCCCTCCCAATCTCTGCCTCCGTGCATAAGAACTTAGATACTCTTTGGATATGCTAGTTTTAAGCAATTTCAGGTTTCACATAATCGCATTCATGTTGAGTGGTGTAGAGCTTAACAAACACATAATTTACCTCATCGTGAACAATCATTTCAATAAAAAAAAAAAAAAAGTCCCAACTGGTTGGGCCGAAAAACAAAACTCTTATTTTATACGTAGATAATTTTTCCCCTGCCACTTCCGGGTATGGATTATGCTTGTTTTCTTCCCACATGACTGGCATCGAGTTCCTTATTTGGACAATGAAGGACCCCAATCCCCTATAATTGCTGAGGGAAAATTTAAGAGAGATTAAAAAGAAAAAAGAGCAATGAGATTTTTGCAATTCTCACTTTTTTCTTTTCTTTTTTCAATATAGATTTTCTAAAATCGATGAAAATGATGGATTTGATTTTTTTTAAAAGGCAAAACTTAAGTACTTAGCATTATGAACTTGACTTACTTTTATCCAATATAAGCAAATCTAGTAAATTTTAATGAGTTAATAATATTAATAACAAAAAATTATTATATAATAAATAATTTATAAGTGATACACATGTCTTGATTTAATTGAGAATAAACATTTTAAGTATATAAGGTTAAACATATAAGTTTTTTTCTTTTTCAAATAAGAAACATAAAAACATTATCACTTTATTATTACAATAAATTTTATTCAAATTCATAATTTTTTATTTATGAAAAATCAATTTTATTCCTTTTTATTCTTATTTGATTCTTTGCAATTTTTCATTCTTATTTCAAAGGGAACTTCTTTTCATTCTTGGTATTCATTAACGCTTTTAGTAAAAATATTGAAATATCTATTTCTAGTTTTTATTTAATTTTTTAACGTTATGACAATAAATAAACTTTTTGGAGATAAAAGTGAAAAGTAACTGTTTATGAAATTACATATAGACCTTGTGAAACAACTTTATTTATAAATAAATTTTATAAAATTTATAAACTTCGACTAGATCTCTTGAGATGGGTTGTAATTTAAAATTGAGATAAAAAGATAATAATACCTCTATTAAATATATATATATATATACACACACACACATATACAAATTACATCAGTCAAATAATTTACAATTATAACTTAATTTTTTGAAATTATAACTTTATATATCCAATAATTAAATTGATCAGTTTAACTATTGAATATGTGAAATTATAGTAGTAAAAAGTTAAAGTTATAGTTGTAAATTATTGATGAAGAAGTTATAAATAATTAATGTTAAACTTTGTTAGTAACACATGATTGTTTAACTATTAGATTTGTAATATTACAGTTGTAAAAGGTTAAAATTATAGTTGTAAACTGCTGATGAAGTACTTGTAAATTAATTATTTAATTGATGTAATGTATATTTAATTGGTATATTATTATCTTTACAGCCTAATTTTAAATTACACTAAAGTCCCAAAGAACCTAGTTATAGTTTCAAATTTTACGAGACTTATCTATAAATAAACCTGCTCCACATGACCAATATATAATTTTCCCACTATTTATATTTTTTTGAATACTCAATGGAAGAGAGGCAGCAAATTGACCTTCATACTATAAAGAAAAATTTTATTTACCATAATATTACACTTTCAACAATGTTTATCTGAATGCTACAAACTAAAATTCAGTCTGATTAACACCAAGTTCTAAAAAATTTTATATCATATCAATTGTAATTTTAAATTTAAAAATATACACTATTTTTGTAAAAATACTTATGATTACTTAATAAGTATTTATTTAAAATTTATACAATTTTTATCTCAATAATTTATATTACATCTTCAATATACATATGAAGCGAGGGAGAATTGTTTATAAGTTGTAACAATTGTACAAATGATAGGAGTTATTGCATTAACCTAAAAAAATGGATTAGTGGCATAAGTGGTGAGGGAGGGAGGGGGAGACAGATATCTAACATTCTTTTTTTTTTTTAATTGAATAGGACTTGACTTCATAGAAACTAAGTTTTACGCTGTCCTGAGACAAATTTTTTAGAACTTGATGTTAATCAGACCAAATTTTAATTTATAACATTTAGATAAACATTGTTGAAAGCGTAGGATTATAGTAAATAAAATTTTTCTTTATAGCATGAAGGTTAGTTTGCCTTGACAAGGAACCGACCGAACAATTCAAAAGTTGGAATCACATGCCCCTCTTCCTATATCCATGGTTCGGATTGCAATGCAAGAGACCTAAATGAGTTACTCTTTGTTTTTTTTTTTTTGGCCAAATAAATGAGTTACTCTTTTCTTAGTTAAAATTAACTAATTTTAGGGTTTTAAAAAAATAATTGCCAATATCATTGAATTTGTAAAAAATTGTTTAAATTTTTAAATTTACCCTTCATTTTGTTAAGTAAAATTAACCAATTTTACTGTTTTTTTAAATATCATTGTACTTGTAAAAATTGTTTAACTTTTTAAATTTCGCCCTTTATGTTGTTAGGCAAAATTAACTAATTTTACAGTTTTTAAAAATGATAATTAATATCATTGGACTTGTAAAAATTGTTCAACTTTTTAATTTTGCTCTTCATTAAAATTAATTACCACAATAAAATTTGTTTAGTCATTACAACTTGATACAATTACGAAGCAATATTAAAAAAAATAATTACTACATCCTTGTCTTATATTTAAAATCAGATATGGTTTTAAAAATTTTACCATATAATTAAGACAAAGGGAGTAAAAAAATTATTCTCAAAGGGTGACATTTTTATCTAGAGTTCTTGACTCTTAACTAGCTATGGATCCGCATTCCATGTTCATCAATAATGATGAGCACGCCCATCACTCACAAGAGTGATCATGGCCCTTCATTTTGTCTTAAAATGATCTTTGTCCTTAATTTTAAATTAATTTTTAAATATTTTAAATATTAAATTTGTAAAAATAAAAATTATAGAAATTTTTAATATAAAATTTGAATTGCTCTCGGTGCTCATTACATAATGATCACTATCATACACATCACTCCTAACATGATCTGGACAATTTAGATTTAAATTTTTATTTTTATTTTATATTACTCAAAATAAAAATGCATAAAAAAGATCAAATTTTTAATAAATCTATTGATAATCAATCTTATTAGTTCAAATTTAATCTGAATAATCCAATTTAATATAAATTTTTATATCTTTTATAAATTGACTGTTCAGATATATTATGAACAATTCAGATATGATCTGAATGATCCAATTTAATATTAAAATTTTTATAATTTTTACAAATTGACAATCTAGATATATTTTAGACACTCAAAATTTAATAATAATTTTTATAATTTGTATTTTCATAATATAATATTTAAAAATAAGGGCCAAGATCACCTCTGTAGGTGATGAGCACAGAATGCAGATCCGACTAGTTATTAAGTGGAAAGACTACTTCTCTTGGGGAAGAGGCAGCTCCATCAGTATCAAACTAAGCCAACTGAGTTACACAGATAGTTAGGTATTCGAACTCAGGGCACTGTTTAACTATCCAGATTCACCAAGGAGACCACTTTTGCTAGTAAATATAGGGATTTTTTTCAAAATGACATGTTCACCCCTACCAATCTTAACTAATGGTGTCTTTAGTAGAGTTATTTGACTTTGAATTCTGTAGACATATATTCTGTTTTAACCAACAGTTTCACGCCGTTGATGGGGAGATTACTCTCTCTGACTTCATCCTTCCCATTGCCTGATGTTCCTAAGTCTGACTTTACTTTCACTTCTTCCAAACAATACAATTTTTTATCAGGTAAAAAAGAAAATTAATATTGAACTGGGGAATGAGATGGGAAATGTGCAAAAATCAAATCATATCGACTCATTCAAAGAAAGTGTTGTCACCTTGCTGTTGATATTTACTCTATCTCCAAACAATAAAACAATTTTTTTTCTTTTTTTAAGAACCAAAGAGGAGGACAAGAAAGTCCTGTTACATTATGTCTTGGTCTTTGGTCTTGTCTGTTTGATTAATATGTTAGTGCCTACAGAGAAAAGTAGCAGCCCTTTTTCGCAATTGGCAAAAGAGTATACTGACTATAGCAAGTTTACCGTTTCCTACGACAAGACAGCCAATCAGATTCGTAGGATATGCAATAGGAAATTTCCCAGCGAGCTCCTGCTTTCCTTGGTCATGTTACCACTGTCTTTTCGCTGACTTGGCCTTTCACGAGATTCAGCATAAGCACTCAAAATATGCAATTTCCTGATCACAAGCGATTCAAGACATGAATCAACGGTCAAATTGATGGCAAAGCACGCCATCTGTCAGCGAGATGCATGACATGGTCACGAGAGGCTGCAGAAAGCTGTTGAAAAATTACATTCTTGACATGAGCAGCAGCCCTTTCCCCCCTTCGAGTGGCCAATTCTAAGTACACCACAGCTTTCATCGTCTCTCCCTCCTGTACAGAAGCATTACCTCCATTAGAAACAATCATATTTTAATTTAAAAAGAAGCAACAAACCTGAAGATTAGTTAGATTCAGAATTTGAACCCTTCAGTCACCCATCATTGCAAAATGTCTATGAATAACTTTAGCCATAGCAGACCATCAATTTAGTCCTACATGGTATATAAACAGATGACATGTGAAAGTGCAATCAACAAATCCTAAAACCAAGGCAAGTGATCCTGAAAAACTCATTGCTCACTACAAGCATAAATGTCAGAAGTAGTAGATTCCCCCCCCCCCCCGGGAATACAAGGCAGCAAGCCAAAGCTTGGGAAGATTAAAAGGTTCTAACTTTTATCGGTTGCTGTGAAACTTTCATCGACTTTTAAGAAGATTAGAATTTAGAAGTGTATGAATATTCATGCATCATTAATGAACTCAAGTTAAGATCAAGCTTGGCTGCCCTTTGTTTTCAATATTTTGACTGCACTCTGCAGCATGCAGTCATAAGATTTTCTAAAGAAATTTGCATTTTAACATTGGCTGAAGTGAATCCCATGAAAGCGGAAATGGAAGGATTTTTGAAAGGAAAGTAATGATGGAAAGTGATTCTCAAACCACTAAATGATTGTTACTTCCTCATTAGGTGATGGAATTCACAAATAAAGTCCCCGATTCATCTAAGGTGTCGTTCCATTTACTTTGATTTTGCATCACAGCACTAACAACAAAAAAATCAGCCGCAGAGCCACAATTATGAATATAACGGATTATACATTATAACTGCACCCTACAGTCAAAAATATTGATTGCAAAGGATCTACTTTGAAATATTTTTTATTTGATGCTTGAGAAAATGCATACTATTATATATATATATATATGCATGTATAATTAAATTTTTAAAACAAGCCATTCATGAGGTAAATTAGCTGAGCATCAAATTTCAAAGCCCAATGGTCCAATTCAACTAGCTTAATGTCATACTCAAGCTCACTCATTTAATAAATGAACTGCTATGGAAGTAACTTCTTCTGTACAAGCCAAACCAGAATTGTTCACAAACAATTCAGTTCATTTGCAATCTAGAAGGAAGGTGAGATTGTATTGAAGAAGTCAGTACCCCATGGTTTTTTAAGCCATGCTTTGTTATAAGTGAGAGAAGATCATAGACAGTTTGTTTATTGCATTTATTCTTCTGAGAACGTTTCAAATAAGAAAGCATTTATACACTTACAGAAAAGAGAGCAAGCCCATGCTCAAATTGAGCTTTACTGTGACCATGGTCCGCAGCCTGCTTCATCCATTTCTTGCTAATTTAAGACTACGATTCAGACCTTCCCCAAAGGAGTAGCATAAGGCGATGTTGTACATGGCACGTACAAAACCACCTTCAGCAGCTTTCAGATACCACTTAGCCTATTCCAGGGCAAGTTGTTAATCAGCCAAGATCAGGACAAATCATAATCACATAGGAACCAAGAATGCCTAGTATCATCATATATTTTGGACATTAAAGATATAATCCTCACACTAAGATCATTAAAATGCCATCACATAGGTTTATCACCAACTTCGGAGTCGTCATAAAGAAGGAAATAGCGTACAAAAGTTTCAAGCATTCTTAATAAAGATGAAATGGATTATCTGCTTTGCCCCCTTCCAGTTAAAAATAAAAGGGATCAATCATAATTGACAATAAGAGGATAGAATAGACACCCTACTGCCTCTTTCATATTACTATTAATCCCTTGACCTCGATGCAGGCAAAGCGCGAGTTGGTATTGAGCACGAGCATTACCACCAAACGAAGCTTTATATAACCATTTTAAAGCCTCCTTACTATTAAGAGAATCAGCTGCAGGAAAAGAGTATACCGTTATGATCCCCATTTTCTATCATCATAAAACTATTGTCATCTAGGCTTTTACGAGTGAAGCATTCAGTAAAGATTTTGTATATGCAGAATGCAGATATAATGTAATATGCCTTTATGGTAAGAACTTAAGATATACTATGATATGCTTGGTCTGTGCTTATTTTCCCATTTCCTCTAATCCTCAACTAACCACCGATTATAGTCGAAAGTGGCTATTGTATATGCAGATTGAAGAGCATAGATAGTATTAGAAGTTAGCTTATAATACATTTCTCGACACAGCTAATAGTAATTTACAAGTGCAAGTGATTTAATTTAGGCATTAAGTGAATGCGAGTGGAAAATTAGACAGTGACTGCTACGTACTAATCCTCCAAAGATAAAAGAGGATGATAAACAAAATTAATGCAAACATCGAAGCTACAATTACCGGTCCACAAACGAAACGATAGTTACATAACTCAAACTTCTTCTTCTTCTTCTTTTTTTCTCGGCAAAACAAGATGGCTTAAACTGAAATTCTGAAAATACCTTGCAATATAGGAAATTCCAAATTGCCACTGCCCAGCTGGGTCTCCGAGTTCAGCAGCCTTCTGATACAGAGCAATCGCCTTGGATCTCTCACCTGTCTCCCCATAAATCAGACCCGCATCAACCATAGCCAGTGTGGGAGCCACGAGCAACAGCTTTCATAAATAATCCAGAGCCTTCTCCGTATTTGGATTAACACCTCCTCGGCCATGCTTGAATCGCTTTCCCCACTTCAATAGCATCATCATCGCTCCCTCAGTGGCCTAAGCGCCTCCGACCAGACCTACACACTAACGACGGCCGCTTGAACGTTCGGGAGGTTAAAGGAGGCTGCAATTTTCGCCAGAATGTCGTAGGGAGAGCAGAGAAATCAGCAACGCGTGCCGTTTCCGATGCCATTGCCGACGAGCAGGCGAACCGAAGAATCCGATGCTTTGAGTGGAGTTCTGACGGTACAGTCTTTAATGGAAGGGCACGTTCTCTGCTTCATCTTCGGTGCTGGAAGCGGTAGGTAGCAGCAGAGTAAACCAGAGATGAAGCTACGGTAATTCGGATCCTCTTAAGTCAGTGGTCCTACTCCTACTATACGTTTCACATAGGGTGTCTTACGTGAAAAGAAGACTGGAACTTCGTATTATATTTAATTTTACCAACGTTTACATATTTATAAGAATCTGATTCTGAATTAGTGGAATTTAAGAATTTTGGATTATTATTCCAAAATAAAGAATAAAAATGAAATAATTTGAATCTTTAGGAAGACGATTTTTTTTAAAAAAAATAAACAATTACACTCACCCATAAGTATAATCCTCATATTATCAAACTATTGTTTATTGTGACACTTGGCCAGGGCAATTTTTTTGTAAGTTAATCATAATTGAATGACAAATAATAAATAAAAGGAGAGAATAACAGATAAATTTTTTTAAAATAAGTAAATAATAATTTGATAAACTTAAGTTAACACGGTAAAAATGTTTTGAATTTTTTTTTTCAAAAGTACTAAATTTTTTATTTAAATAATTTTTTTCAAAACTTTTAAAATAGAGCTATCTAAAATTATTTTTCTTTGAAACTTTTAAAAAGGGATAATTTTTCTCTCTTGTTAGTGTGAAAGATACTTAGATTGATTGAGTTTACCACATTATTTATAATATGTCTAATAAAAACATAATATTTACATTTTTTTTTTCAAAAGTACTAAATTTTTTATTTAAATAATTTTTTTTTAAACTTTTAAAATAGAGCTATCTAGTATTTTAAATTTTTTTGAAATTATTTTTCTTTGAAACTTTTAAAAAGGGATAATTTTTCTCTCTTGTTAGTGTGTGAAAGATACTTAGATTGATTGAGTTTACCACATTATTTATAATATGTCTAATAAAAACATAATATTTACATAACACTGAATATAAATTAATTTTGAAATTAATTATAATAAAAAAAAGAAAATGTAAGAAATCAAATGCACTTTATTATAAAAATAAAATTAATTTAAAAATATCACACAATATTTTATTTAAATTATTTAAAATATTTTAATTGAATAAATTATAATAGACGTGGTATACTCAATCTTTTTAAATATTTATCTTCTTAGTGTTTACCATTTTGTTAATGTTACTTGAACCTTCTTTACCATGTCTACAGCCATGTGGCATTTTCAAAAATAAAATGTTAAAATATATTTTGGGTTTTTTAATTTCATATCAGATTTTATTTTAGTTCTTTAATTTTAAAAAATATATTTTATCATTTAATCCTAAATTTTTATTATAAAAAAATTTATTAAAATTTTAAATATTAACAAAACATTCTTGACTTATTAAATTTAATTTTTTTAAATAACAATGATCAAAACATAAAATAATTATTTGAAATTAAAAATATTAGAATTACATAATTAAAAATATACTTTTTAAATTAAGGGAGTAAAACAAAATTTTACGTAAAATTAGAAAAATAAAAGTGCACTTCAGCTAAAATTAAAAAAAAAATCCACATTAGTATTCCTTTCTTCCTTCCCTTCTTCCCCTGCTTCATCGGTGATCTCCGGTCATTCACTTTCCTTTTCTCTTTTTCTCCTCAAGCTATCCGATTCATGACGCTGAACGTTGTTGAAGAAGGAGATCGAGACAAGGCAAGTACAGATCTTACACTGCCAACAGCAATGCGTTGCTCAAGGTTCTGTCAAAGCAGCGTCTTTGGTTTCATAATTTCCATGGTAGGAATTTCTGTGGCGCCGGCAAAGGGATTTTCATGGCCCCCTTAATACAATTTGTGAAAATGATGACTTGTTTTATTAATTTCAATATTAGATATATTTTTATAAGAAAAAATATATATTAAGATTATTAATAAAAAAATAACAAAGATCTATCAAAGGATAAAATAATAACAAAAAATAAAATAGTTATAATTACTTTAACTATATATAAATAAAATAATATATATAATAAAAAATCTAATATTTTCTATGTCCCGCCAAGCTGAAGAATGTATGTCACACATGACATGCCCAACTAGGATAGGAGATTATTGAATGGATCAATTCTAAGAGACTTGGTGTAGATGTTAGCAAATTGATCCTTTGAACAAATAGGAAATAAATGAATGATGTCAGCTTGAAGCTTATCACAAATAAGATGACAATCGAGCTTGATATGTTTAGTGCGCTCATGAAAATAGGATTATAGGCAATATGAAGAGCAGATTAACTATCACAGAAGACCAACGTAGAGAAAGATGAGTGATATGAAGGTCTTGTATAAAAAATAATAACCATTGTAACTCACAAGTCATAGGACCAAGAGCTCGATATTCAGGTTCGGAAGAGGAATGGAAATAGTGGATTGTTTTTCAAGCGTTGGAAAACCAAAGCTTTGTCAAGAAAAAACACAAAAGCCAATAATGAAGTGACAGGAATTAACATGACCAACCCAATTAGAGTTAGAGAGAGCCTTAAATTTAAGATCAAAGTCAATAAGAAAAAATAAGCCCTTACCTAGTAAGGGCTTAAGATAATGAAGAACACAATGGGTAGCTTGCAGATGAGTACTACATGAATCAAACATAAACTAAGAGAATTGTTAGACAAGAAAAGTAATGTCTAGGTAAGTGGTTGTCAAATAGAAGAGATGACCAATAAGATGCTGATAAGCAGATGGATCATCATTAGACTACCATCATCTTTAGAGAGTTTAGCGAACCTATCCATAAAGGTAGAAGCTGGTTTACAAGTAAGATAACTACAATTAGAAAGAATGTCTAAAGCAAATTTTCATTGGGAGACAGATATACCAGAGGATGTTCGTGCTATTTCTAGACCAAGAAAATATAAGAGCTAACCTAAATCCTTGATTATAAAAGACTTATCAAAAAGAACTTTAATTTTGAAAATTTTAATAAAATCATTACCAGCTAAGATAATGTCATCAACATAAACCAATAACACTATAAATGAAAAATCAGTCTTCTTAACAAATAAAGAATAGTCTACTTTAGATTAGAGATAACCATATGAAGTAAGAGCAAGTGTAAGCTTAGCAAACCATTAATGACTGGCCTGCTTCAAACCATGAAGAGACTTTTGAAGTTTGCAAATAGTGTTAGATGATAGAGAATTAAAACTAAGAGGAAGAGCCATATAGACCTCCTCATTTAAATTATCATGAAGGAAGGTATTATTGACATCTAACTACTCCAAGAGCTAAGGGCTGGCAGCTACTAAGGCCAAAACTAAATAAATTGTAGTTAGTTTAGTTATTGGTGAAAAAGTATTAAAATAGTCAATCCCTTGGTAATCCCCTTGGTTTGTATAAAACCTTTAGTGACCCAAATGAGCTTTATGCCTGCCAAGAGAAACCATCAGCCTTAAACTTTTTTTTAAACATCTATTTACAACCAATGAGATGTTTGCCTATAATGAGCTTAGGTAGGATCCATTTATTATTTTACTCAAAAGTAGAAAATTTAGCCTACATAACTTCTCTCTAGTTGAGATATTTCACTGCTTGATTATATGTTTAGGTTCAAAGGAAGCAAAAATAAGAGAATAGAGTGTTTGTAAGAAGGAGAAAAACAATTATAAGAAAAGACAAAAGCGAAGGGATAACAGAGACTTGGATTAAGGGAAGAAGAGGTGTTGAGTGAAGAGTAAACAATGATAATCATGAAAGTAGGAAGGAGGGTTGTGAGACCGAAAAAAACAAACATAAAGGTAATGAAGAAGGTATATTAGTAGAAGTATAATTTGAAGAGGTGGGAGAAATGGGAGAAATGGGACCTGAAGAATCTAGAGTAATAGAAATAGTAGAAGTAGAAGAGGATTGAATGATAAAAGGATCAAGATAATCAAGAGGAGGGTGTAGGATTGTGGCAAAGGAAAATCAGAAGAAGTAGTAGAAGTGGAAGATTAAGAAAAAGGAAATTCAATCTCATAAAAAATGACATGCCGACTAATGAAATATTGCAAGAATGCAAATCAAGACATATAAAACCTTTGGTGTCAAGGTGAAAACTAAGAAAAACACATTTCCTAGCTCAATGATTGAATTTAATGCGATGAGAAATAGAAGTGGAAGCAAAATAAAGAGAACCAAAAACACAAAAATTAAAAAAAAAAAATCAGGGAACACATTATAAAAGAAGTTCATAAGGTGTTTGTTATTACAAAACAATGGTGGGAAGATGATTAATGATGTGGACAATATATAAAATAGCGTAAGACCAATAAGCTAAACATAAATGACTT